AGGCCAGCAGTGAGAAAACAACGCAGCTAAAATCAGCGGTCATTTCAGAATGTCCTGTACAAAAATGATTCACTGAAGTTCACACCGAGGTGCTGGGACATGAGCATCACACAGAACTTCAGACTCATGCTCTGACCCCCAAATCATCCCTCAACTGAGTACTGAACTACGAAGGAAAATCTACTTTGTTTTCAAACTTCTTTTTGCACGTCACTCCACTTGGAAAGCAAGCCCAAAGCAGAGCTGCCTCCTTCCCACAGTTGCTTCCTGGATACTTTCAGGCTGCTGCTCACAGACACCAGCACCATGCAGCTATGCCCGATTTAAGTGTTTCAAAGAGATATTTCTACCGTCCCTGAGTGTTCTTGTGTCTTTACGAAAGCTAACACCAGATTTGATCTGGCAAAACTCTTAGTGCATTGTATTCTTAATACCTTGGGTTTATCTTTTTATTTTAATTTTTAATTACAGAGATACTCTCTGGATTTCTTTGATTAAGCATGGTGCTTTAAACCTTGATTTCAAAGGAACTATCTCTCTATTAGACAGATGAGATACTTTCAAATGAGACGTAAGGAAAAAGCCAGGACATGCTATTGTAAATTAGGTTCCAATATGTTCTTCAGCTACATATAGCTGAAACAAATATTTATCTTGAATCACATCTTAGATATTTAAATTGATTTGTTGTCATTACTGCTTTGCTTCTCAGCCCTGGTTGTGCCTGCCCGACTAGGCTTCCCCATATGGTTGTGGGTGACCGAAGGGAGGGGAGATTGTGTTAGGAAGGGAAAGGTGGCCCTAGAGGACCTCCTGCTGAGGTAACTGAAGATGTAACACAGTGAACTGCACCTTTGCTGTGCAGATCCGAGCGGCCAAGCCGTGCTCTGCGTAGTCACTCGTCCTGCAGAGAATTCCTGTGAAAGGAGGAAAACAAACTCTGCAAGGCCTGATTTCGGTAGCAAAGCTGCAAGGTGCCATAATCTTTATAGGTCTGAAGGACTGAGAAGAGACTTCAGAGCACATGCAAAAAATCCACCCCAGTTTTCCCCCATTCCGCATCAAAACTCACCTTTATGAGCAAGGCCAGGGCTCCATGTGTAACATGCAGGATTAATGGACGTGGCCATTCACGTCATGTCACTTACTCCCGTCAGCGGTGCCATTAAAACAAGATTGTCTCGAGGGACGGGGGGATCGTGTGGCATCCTCGAAGGACTCCAGAAAATGCGACACACGCGCTCAGGATAATACAGACTCCATATTCCCACGGCACATGCCTGCAGGCTTAACACCATTCCTTCCTTCTGGCGAAAACAATGGTGGCGCTTAAATCTCACTTCTCTAATCACACTCTAATATCATCCCTTCTAGGAACAAGCTGTACCAGTGTAAATGCTACAGCACAAGCATTTTTATGCTGCTACAACTGTGCTCACCTGCGAGGAATTCCACCTTTATGACAATCCAGATGAAGCCTCTGTGTGTAGATGAGTGCTGAAAATGTTCAAAAACATTTCCTGGAGGCTCCACGCTGTCCCCCTAGGAGCAGTACAAATCTAATACTGGAAGCAAAGATGTGAGCGCTGCCACGCATTGGCTTTCTGCTCTCGTGCCCCGAGTAGACCTGCACGATACCATTGCTAAACTGAGACATCCTGTTTCCCCTCCATTTCCCTCTTGGTAATGCTGTGTCAGAGGTGAGGGAACAGTTTCAGAGTAATTCAGAAAACTCAGTGCAGACAATTTTTTTGTTTGTTTGTTTGTTTGTCCACTTATCAGGCAAGAAAAGATAAAGTCTGTGAAACTTTTGCAAAGGAGAAACTTACCAAAGAGGCAAATGCTCTATGACAGTACTGCAGTACATTTTGAAAGAGCAGTCTTAAATGTGTTGCATGAGCAAAGCTATGCAGTTGCCATGATTAATACTGAAAAAAAATAAAAATAAAATAATAATAAATCTTTAAAATCCTTCTTCTGTGGAAAAGCCTAACCCAAACAGCTTTTCGGGAGCCATGATTTATGCATACTAAAAGAGCACAAGATACAGGGTGCATGCAGGAACAGCTTGACATGTCTTCTATCTCAGTTGTTCCTGCATGAGTAATCCTGTAGGGCAAATATTTCATTCTGAATCTCTTTGCTTTCATTTTACGATGTGCATTGTCCCCTCATGACCATTTACTTTTCTCCCTCTGCTGCAAAGCAACAAGGCTGGAGTCTTGGAGTCTGCAGCTTTGTGTTTAGCCACTGCCTTCAGAGTCGCTGCAGATGGTATCTGCTCAATGCTACCAAATGTTGGATGGCATATATTAAAAGCAAAAAAAGTCTTACAAAACTACTTCAGAAATGCTTTACAGAATATTCTCAGGATCCTAGTGGGAATGAAAGGTGACAACTCAGTTGAGGGTCCTACTCCCAGATATTATCTATTTTCAGTTTGATTTAATTTTAGTGTGCATTTAGTGTGCAATTTTAGTGTGCCCCCCATCATATAGGGCAAGAGGAAATGTCTGTGCTTCCATATTCATCCAGAAAGCTGATTCTATAGGGTGCCTTCCCCTTTTAGTTATTGTTTTTATGAAATTGTCTTGATTAACTGCTCCATGGCAGGGAAGGCTTGTTTTCTCAGTGAGGCTCTGTGTACAAGATAGCCAGGCTTGAAGACCAAGGCCAGTCACTGAATAAGAAAACCACTGAGCAGAGAGAACCAGCTGGAGATGGGCCAAATACTCTGGCAGGAGATGCTTCAGTGAGTGAGCGCATTCACCCGGATAAGGGGCCAGAGGATAGCTCTTGAGAAACAGCTCCTGAATTAGCTTTTAGTCTTGTCAGCTGGCTGGAAACATTGCAGCTTTCACAAGGAGAAGGATGTTCCACAGCCCTGCCCGGCGCCCTTGCAGGGATGGCAAACTGGATGTTGCTGGGCTGTGTGAGAAACATCGCCGGAGCTCTGGTTAAGGAAACCCAATGCTGAAGGCTCAAAATGCTTGTTTCCTTGCAGGTATTGCTTTCGACAGGCAAACAAAATTGACAGGGCAAGAGACAGGTTTCCAGGAAAGTAACGTGAGAGAAAAGAATTAATGTTCGTTTAACTTTCTAGAAATGGCCGGTTTACATTAACTGTTTGCCAGGAACAAAGAGAAAGCGCTGGGCAGTTTGCATTATGCTGAACAACTGGGTATCCAATGCACAGAGAGGTGAAAAATACGACCCAGCCTCTGCCCTGCGAAGCACTGTGCTCTTTCCACTGGTGTGGAGAAACTGCTAACACCTTTGCAGGATCAGGCCTTATCCAAACTGCTCTTTAGACTTCAGGTCTTGGAGCAGTGAATGAAGGTCCAAATACCAAACAAACACCATGTCTCTTTGAGGTGCCATTTACATCTTTCTTCAGAGGCTGCTTGGGCTCGCTGCATTTTCGTGTTTTCTTAAATAAAATGCATGTGGCAATGCAGCTTATGCACTCGTAAAAACTGAGCAAATTTGTGCTAAATTCTAATTAAAAGGTTTAATCGAGCCTCCGGTTGCTACTATGTCTATGTGAGCAACAGCTGGGGAGCACCTAATCATTCGGAGATCGGTGCTACTTCCGTCTTGTTTATTTGAAGAGTTCTTTTGTGACACTGTTCTTCTCCTATGACAAACTTCCCTAAATACAGGGCAGTGGATGAAAACAGCATGTAGGGCTTTCAGCTCTTCCCAGACAGCCACCTACTTACTCTGAAAATGATACTGAAAGTCAGCTCTTCCCAGACAGCCACCTACTTTGAAAATGATACTGAAACTCTTTTTAAAGACTGAGGTCAATATCCTTTTGTGTGCTACACAGAAAAAATAGCTAAATTCTTCCTTATTCTTGAAAGCTTTTAATATTAGAAGGCTAAATTGTTGCCAGAAAGATTTATTATGAGAGATTTCACCATGATTATTTTTCACCGTATCCTTCACCGACAGACCTTGTTATATATGAAAAAAAAAGTCTGTCATCTTGCGACAGTAGGATGAGAGCCCTGCGATGAGACTTTGAGCTCACTGTGCGGGTGAACACCCAGGGTAACTTTGTTGTAGTCATTAAAGTTATTCTTGTGTAACTCAGATCAGACAAATGGGCAGCTTCCAAGAAGAATCAATTGCACTAGTGCCAATTAAGCAGGAAACACAAGTAACTCCCAAGCCCAGATTTTTCAAGTGTCAGTTCCCCTCTCTAAACTATTTAGCTGTTATATATAATTAAAGCATACAATAGCTTCACTTCTGCTGCATTTCAAAGAGGCGGCCTCTTGGTTTTGTTAAGGACCCAGCTCTGCTGAAACAGCTTCAGGTGATAAGATTATTGTGGTAAGCAGGGCTTAACCTTGGGGAACAAGGAATGATTTGAAACACGAAGTTTGCCCTTCCTTCTCTTCCAGCATGTTCAGGTCCCTGCAGGCTGCTCCCCCTTCCCTCACATCTTAAGCCCCACACAAGCCAGTAATCTTGCTAAGAAAAGTGGGTATTCACGTTGTGATGCCTTTTCGGGAGCCTCTGCTACTCCAGCACGAAGCGCGGTGTGTGCTGTGCCATGTGCGCTCAACCACTGCTCTGCATCTGCCCTCTGCTGGCCACGCGGGACACACCCAAGAAACCCCAGGAAAACCCAAATGTTTGTGTCTGTCTACGCACTTTGGGCTCTTTTACCTAAACTGCTACAACTTCCTACGGTTGTTGCTCTCCCTGCACACAAGCTTTTGCTCTAAACGCTGTACAAGCAGAACTCATCTCCCAAATCTGTGGGTTTTTCTTTTTTTTTTCCAAAAACAGTTTTATAATCTCCTCTCAGATGAACCTGGCTACCACTGAGTTCTCACCAGTGGTCAGTATCTTTTTATGCCTCATAGATTATTTAGATTCCTGTAAGATACCTATGACATTTCCATACAGATCCGGGCGCACAGCTGAAGTCACTTAAAGGAGGCTGAACAGCAGCACCCTGGAAGGCAGGACGGAGGGGTCGCGATATGGTGGCAGGGGCCCCGGCCCGGGACACGGTAGCAGGCACAGGCCGTGCTGCATGCGCCAGGATGCGCATTGCCACCAGCGCGGATACCGCCGAGGTCACGTTCAGTGGCACGGGGAGCGCTGGTTCCCGTCCCCTGGATCTGCTGGCGCAGATTTGGGCCTCCTGCATTAAACCACGAGGCGAAACGCGGAACATTCAACTCCACGCGGAGGCGCCAGGGCCCGCCC